ATTCACGCACCAAAGGCCCATAGGGACGGAGCCGTTGCTGCAAGTGTGACAAGTCGCACGGTAGGGCATGTCGATTGACGAGTTCAATATGTTTCGGTTGTGGTCACCCGGGCCACATGAGTAGGACTTCCTCAGGGGTGCTCTGATTTGTTTTCATTGCAATCAGACTGGCCATAAAAAGACCAATTGTCCAAGATTTTCAGGGGAGTAGTGGTCGTGCCTGTGCCAACCACTTTGAGGATTACTGATGGCCGTCAGGGCAAGGTGGAGGCTCCTATGGTGAAGAGCAGGGCATTTCAGCTGACCACCGATGAGGCTCCTGCAGCACCGGATGTGGTTACTGGTATGTGATTTATCCTTATCTTTATTGTTCTCCTTATTTATGCTGATGATTATATGTGATCTCGTATAGGGACCTTTTTGGTCAATGGTATGACTGCTCATGTCATGTTCGATTCGGGTGCTACTCGATCCTTTGTATCTCTTGCTCTTAGCAAGAAGTTTTGTGATGCTCTCGGGACTCTGGATTTTCCATTAGAGGTTGAGATTATGGATGGCCGTACTGTGAGTGCGTCGAGGGTTCATCGTGGGTGTGTCTTGAATCTGTTTAGTGAAAGATACTCTATTGATTTGGTGTCGATTCCTCTGCGAGGATCAAAGGTTATCATCAGGATGGATTGGTTGGGCCCTAATGGGGCCATGATTGACTGTGAGTGTCAGCTAGTGAGAGTTCGAACCCAAGTGGGGGAGAACTGGTTATTCCTGGCGAGGGAGCTTCGCATGGGCCGACTCTCTGTTCAGCTGCGAGGGCCAGGAGATATCTTCAACAAGGTTGTTCTGGGTTCCTAGCTTATCTTGTAGACACTCGAGTTAAGGGCACGACGGAGTTGAGTGGGGTGCCCATCGTTCGGGATTTCCCCGATGTATTTCCTGAGGATTTTCCAGGCGTGCCTCCTGATAGGCAGGTTGAGTTTCAGATTGACTTGATTCCTGGCACAGCTACAATATCCAAGGCACTATATCGCTTGGCTCCACCAAAGATGCAGGAGTTGTCTATGCAGCTTCAGGAGATGCTAGACAAAAGATTTATACGACCAAGTAGTTCTCCATGGGGAGCAACGATCCTGTTCGTGAAATAGAAGGATGGTTCACACAGGATGTGCATTGACTACCGGGAGTTGAATAAGCTAACGATGAAGAATCGTAACCCACTCCCGAGGATTGACGATTTATTTGACAAGCTCCAGGGTGCATCTTGATTTTCCAACATTGATTTGTGATTGGGGTACCATCAGATGAGGGTCAGGGATGATGATTTGTAGAAGACAGCCTTCAGGACTCGATATGGTCATTACGAGTTAGTGGTGATTCCTTTCGGGCTCACCAATACACAGGCAACGTTCATGGATCTCATGAACCAGGTTTGCAGGCCGATGCTGGATCGGTCAGTGATAGTATTCATAAATGATATTATGGTCTACTCCAAGACCAAGGAACAACATGAGGAACACTTACGAGAGGTGTTGGAGACCCTAAGGAGGGATAGACTTTATGCTAAATTCTCCAAATGTGAGTTCTGGTTGCGCGAGGTGCAGTTCTTGGGACGCATCGTCAATCAGAAGGGTATATTGGTCGACCCGGCCAAGATCGAGGTTGTGATGTGATGGGAGGTTTCGATGACCCCATCTGAGATTCGGAGTTTCCTAGGTCTCGCGGAGTATTATCGAAGATTTATCCATGATTTCTCCAAGATTGCAGTGCCTTTGACTCGTTTGACGGCGGGGTGACTTGGTCCAGACCCGTCTGTTTTGGCGGTTTGCGACCACGACGTGGCCAAGGAGGCCACAACGTGGTGGCTAGTTGGGTTGACTTTTGATTTTGATTTTGACCTGGATTTTAACCAAAGTTTGACCTAGGGGTATTTAGGGTATTGTGATATGTATTTTGAGTTTTGGTCACTGTATTTATAAAGGTGACTGGTTGATTCGATTCCGGAGCAGCGTATTGTTTCAGTTTCTCAGCTGTCTGTGAGGTGAGTCTTCTCATTGTATCCATGGGTCGAAGGCACCAATGTCGACCCATTATTGTGTTATCTCGGGTGATAGCTGTTATGAGGCTTATATGAGTTTGTATGATGGGTTGAAATTAACCCAGGGCAAGGCCCACTATTGTATGTTTGGGTTGAAAGATAACCTAGGTCGGGGTTTATGTTTGTTGATCGGGTTAAAATACACCCCAGGGCGGGGCCCATTTGTGTATATCGGGTTGGTTTATACCCCAGGGTTAAGCCTAGTTGTATGTTTTGGTATGTGGTACTTTGGGGAACTCACTAAGCTTTGTGCTTACAGTTTATGTTTATGGTTTCAATTACTTCTGGTTCAAAAGGGAAGGACCCGAGGTGATGGCACAACATCCTCCCCTCATGATTTTCGCATTTTGAATAATTGTATTATGATGTTTTGAATATTACATTGATGGTGGGTTTTAGAACAATTAATGAATGAAATTGACAGTCTATGAATGAAAAATTTTATCACTATTTTTTGGCTGTTACAGATGTTAAAGATTAAGAACTTTAGTTTGGATGATTGTAATGTAATTAGTTACAACTAGTTGATGTGAATTATTACCCAAGTATATATGTCAAGATCTTACTAAACCACAATTTTAATTGCTATTTTAATGTGATATCTATATATCTATGATATGTGATAGTCCATGTATAAATGAGATTTTTTTTTGATATTTTAGAAATGCTTTTGATCATGAACTTGTGCATTCACTTATGATGGGTTAAGACTTTGTGTGACACTTATGAGTAGCTAATTTGGAACATTTCTTTGGAGTGATTGCATTCTAGACAACCTCACGAACACAAGGGATTTGCTAGTTATTGTACATTAAAATTGTATAGTGAGCTTTGTGTTATCTAAGCATAAGCCTTAACTATAACTATTGATTATAAGATCGGACCTTAAGATTGACTTTGGAGTTTGAGAATAAAAACATATGTATTGTTTAATTGAAATTGTTCAATTATTATCCATAAGTATTTATGATAATGGATATGATTACGTTTAAGAAAAAAAAATCCCCAAAACTTGATAAATAGTTTGTTGATTTAAAAAACTTTTTGAAAGTTTGACTTTGGTTTTGTTGACATTTTCCAATATCGTTAAAAGTTAACTATAAAAGTTAACTATAAGAATGCCTACTAGGCTTTTCAGACCGACCTACGTATTTTGACATGTATTTAGGTTGAAATACTTAAATGAAGATCAATTATAGATTTAGCATTTGGACATTGATAGATTTAGCATTTGGACATTTAGAATATGTTGTACTTTGTATTTAAGGTAAATGTGTGCATGTTTATTTTAAATTATTGTCTTTCGATTATCTTGATACGCTCTCGTATGCCTCACCAATTAAACATTTTTTATTTTAAATTATTGTCTTTTGATTATCTTGATACGCTCTTGTATGCCTCGCCAATTAAACATTTTTAAACCATTAAAAACTTAACCGTTTGGAACCTTTATCCGCAACTTGTTTTCTTAAAATGATTTTGTTTTACGAGACAACACAAAACCTTTATTTTAAAAGTCAATTTCAAATAACTCATACGAAATATGTTTAAGATAAACACTAAGTTTGCACTTGAGGTTGATCTTTTGGAATACCTCATTGAATACAAACACAAATACAAAAATTAGAGATGTTTTACACCTTAAATTAAACAATAATAGAAACAGTTGTGGACAAGAAGAAACAATTGGGGAAGATAGGGTCCAATAATTTTGTGGAAAATTAAAAGATGAGAGATAGAGAGATAGGAGTAAAGGGCAATTTATATTTGGTTAACGACTATGTGACCTACAATACAAGTTGGTTCGGGCATGGGACCCTACCACTTTCTTCAAAGTTGCATGGTAGGCCCCCGCCTCCAAGTTTGATATGTCTACACTCTCCTTTTCAACAAGTCAAATAAGAAAAAATAAAATAAAAAATCACTCCAATCCCCAAATTCAGTAATTAATCTCATAACAAAATAACAATAACAAGATCAATTACTTCAACTACATTTATCACATCATGAAAGCATTAAAACCATTAAAAATTTTGTTTGTTACATAAAGCAATGATTGAGAGTGAGTCTCCGTGTACTATGTCCAAATACGTTAAACTTGTTTTCTTCTTTCATCACTTTTACAAGATAGATCACAATTGTTCATAAAGTTAAACATGATCAAACATTCAAACCAAAATTTAAGGAAGCAATAATTGTAGGATGGTTTGAAGGATTTAACCCTAGATAAGGGTAAACTTGTCATTTCAAGATAAATCCTAATTTAGATAATTAGAAACAAATTGAAATCACTTCTTTCTTACATATCAACAAAAGGCAAATAGATATCAAACTTTTACCAAAGGGGGAAATGTGCAACTTGCAAGCAAACATGTTCTATTCTTTCCTTGTGCAATAAACACTTTCTATTTTTATTTTTTCTTCATGTCCTACTGTGACCACTTGTATCCCATGGTCCCAATTCAGTTTTTATAAAAATTATCCAACATTTAGAGTTGCCAACAAGACATATATAAAAAGTTAAAACAAACTTAAACCCTTTTTAATAAATGAAAAACATGAAATAACAAAAGAGTGTTTAGTGGGACACTTCTTAACATGGGGATATTAAAGGTAAGGTGTGCCAGTGTATCTTGATTCAGATGTTTTGCTTCTAAACCCAAAGCACAATTCCCATTTTACCCTCCACCTTAATCCTATAGTTAGCTTGATGTAGAAAGTCTTGTTTTTTTGTATTTATGAAGTTGTATTAATCTTTTAAGTTTATAAATTTCAAATCTTTAATAAAAAATTGATAGCAGCCTTTTTTTAATTTGAATGCCAGCAGCAGCCAGCAAAGACGTGTTGGACTAATTAAACTTTGTGTCATCTCATAAATCTCAACATCAAGAAAATGAAAGAAAGCATATAACCCAATGATTGTATTAAAACATGCATTCTTTTTTCATCTATCACCATTTTTTTTTAAACAAAAAACAAGGTTAAAGATCATTATAACCTCTACTTACATATTTCAATGAAGTTACTTTCGGAAAGACACCTAAATTTTATCCTTTTGTAACAATTTGGTTGTAAATTTGTTGCACTTTGAGGTTCTAAGTGACCATTGTTCCTAAAAAAACAACAACAATGTCAATATCTGCAAAAAAAAGTTATTCTTCCAACAACCCATAAATCATGTCAGATGTAAATTAGACAGTAGTCAAACGAAAGACATACCTTGAGGAACAAGGTTTGACCAAGATTTTGTGGCATGTTGTAGTGCCTTGGAAATCAAGAAAAGTGAAGCCTAAAAGTTTGAATTTTTCGGATTCGGTCATCACTGAGAAGCCAAAGGATCTTGTCCAAGTGTGTAGAACGCTTGAGACAGCTGGCAAAACTAATTTCTTCACTCCTAACTCTGTAAGAATCTAGAAAAAAAAAAGGGATTAAATGAAGTGAAATATTTGATTATTTGTTGGATTTTCAAATACCCATATCACTAAATGACAAATAAAGGAATCTTGTGGACCCCATGAGTGTCATATCATATCATATGAGATCAGATGTAAATCAGATACAGAGTGAGCCACTGATATTTATTTACCTTTTCAAGTTGGTGCATGAGAATATGACACATTCCACGTCTACGGTATTGGAATCGTGTTCCAACAAGTGGGATCTCCGCTACTTTTTCTCCATAAACCCTTTTTATAATAAAAGTTTTAGTCTTTTAGATGAATATAAATAAGGACACAAAATTAGGAGATTTAATAACTTAGAAATGTTAAATCACACCTTAATGTAGCAGTTGAAATTAGCTCATCACCTTTCTCCAAAAAAACCGTGTAAAAACCCTTAAAGTTCAAACGACGTAACTCTGACCTGTAAATTAGATCATGAATAAGAAAGAAAAAAGTTATTACATTTTTGGTCCTTGAGTACAACCGATTTTTGCAATATTGGTCTTTATTTGAGGCTCTTGTAATGTGTTTGATCATTGTTCCAAATAAAATGACTATTTTGTTTGTCCCTAGAATCTTAAACATAGCTGATTTTTGCATTTTTGGTCCCAAAAATATAGTCTTTTTACATGGAGCATGGACTAAAATCTCAAAGAATGACAAAAATTACAAGAGAAAACTACTTAGGACCAACATTGAAAAAACTAGCTATCTTCAAGGACCAAAAATGTAAATTTATTTTATCTCACCATCTACAAAAGATAACATCTTCAACTATATCTCTCCCAGTGCGAGCTTCTTTAACTGGCTCAAAGCATTCATGCATGACACTAATAGCAACATTCAACTTGCTATAATTCTCTATTATTTCCTCCATATTTAAGGCATCAATATCATCATTAGAAGTAGAACATTCAGATGTCTTATTTTTTCTTAAGGTCCATGTTAAGTTATCCTTATCCCTCCCAACTGGAATTGACTTCCCTAAAAGCCTTTCAAGACCCGTAAATATCTGCAATTCCCAAAAGTTTATCATTATCAATCATAAAATGATTAAAATCTCTAAAAGATATTAAAAACTTGAATGTATACATACATACCTCTTCACATCTTGAACTACAAAACCAATTTGCTTCAAGATAACTCCCCACCTTTCTTTTTAAGCACCCTACATGATCTACATAAGTTTTAACAATCAATAAGTTTCATGCTTTATAACAAAAACAAAAAAAAACACACAAAGAGATTGGATTGAAGACTACATACATCCTTTGTCACATTGTTCACAATTTATCATTTCACTATTTGTATTTTGTTCACTAAATCTGTTCTGATTACATATTCTACAACAGCAAGATGGACAAAACCATTCACCATCAGGAACCTCCTAACAAAATCAAAACTATTCATCAATATAAAATTATAAAGTTTAAACAATCAAGAAATATAAAAGTATAAAACACCAAGAATTTTTTTTTTTACCTTTAATCCCACGCAAGATTTGTGAAACGAAGAAGGGCATTGATCACATAACACTAACTCCCCTCCATATTGACAAACAGAACATATATAATCATTGTCATTAACCATTTCATGTTGGTTTCCTTTTAGATTTGACTTTGAACTTTGATCAAGTTTAATTTGCAATTGACAATCGAGTAATGATCTTCCATCTTCAAGAAATATGTTAGCAGAAGCTCTCCCATAAGAGCTTCCACCATGAGATTGAAACGTCAAGAGGCTAAAAGTGGATCGACAACAACTACATTTAATCCCATCACGAGTTATTCGACCTTCCTTCATTGTAAAACCATTTTTCTTACAAATATATCTCACTTTTGCTCGAGGCAAAACAACATTATTATCAATCAACCAAGATAAAATGGTTCTTGGGGTTTGAAACAATGAAGAAACATCTTTTCGTGCCCTTTTGCTTGATCTTAACACATGGGTATTAGTAGTAGTCATCAAAGATTCGTCTTTTTTTATTGGGGATTCAGTATGCAAAACACCATTTTCGTTCTTGAAAGTCTTGTTAAAGTCAAAGCAAAAAGATTCCTTGATATAATGACTGCAGGCTTCATGAAGACTGTAGAACTTTCTTCCATTTGGTGAACTGTAAACAATTACCTTCCTACCAGAATCATGTTCTAAATGAAAATTCGACCACCCAACAGCAAAAAGATGCTTTCTTGCACTAATTTGAAGTTTTTTAAACTTATCATCTCTCATCTTTTGTAAGTCAAAGTTTGGTGCTGATATCAATGAGTAATAGTCAACTACAGCCTGTGGACAGTATTCAGATTCAACAACGTGTAAATCTTGTATTTGTGGTTCTTCTTTGTTGGATGCTGATGATGTTAAAGATTCAAGATTCTTGACATCGAATGAATTTGAAGAAATGTTTTTTAGCTCTGTGCATAGGACATTAAGTGAATAATATTGTTTCCCATTTGGGTCAGTGTAACGATATCTAAAAGTAGCATTTCCTTTTAAGCCAATTTTAAAAATCTTGCACTCAATTGTCCATCCCAAATAGGAAAGATGTTGCCTAACTTTCAATGTTATAGAACCTGAAGGTTTTTTACCAGATTTGAAGCATTTGTAGTATTCAAAAATTGCATCTGGGAAACACTCTGCTTGAAGAGATATATCGGTTTTGGTCCATTCAGATTTTGGTTCTTCAGAAGGGGAATTAAGAGTCTCATGATCAGATTTAATAGCCAAAACTGTGTCATGATCATGAAATTCCTCAAGAGATTTGGAAAAGGAAGGTTCAAGATTTACCACTGAATCAAGAAACCGTTTGTTGATATCCATATCTTCTGAAAACGTATGCAAGAAGTCTGCCATTGTTAACTTAAAGCTATCTGCCATTACCTCTTTAACAGTTTCTTTCCAGCTTTCTTTCACTGGACATGTCCACTCCTTCATTTCTTTTGAAAAACACTTTGTCATTCTCACTTCATACCAAATCTGTTTCACAGAAACAACAAGTGGCCATTCCATTTTTAGTTCCTCAATAACTTCAAGAAAAATCCAATCCCCTCGAAGATTCCATTCATCAGTAGCTGCATCCCAGTCTTGAGTGACCCTTAGATTCTTCAATGGAACCCTTAACTCATCACCAATATCAGGAAAGAAAACCAATCGTTCATCAAAACCATCATTATGATCAAATACAACACCTTCCCACCATGCATCTTCATGAAATACATCCACACATTGTCCATAATGGAGATATATTTTGTCACAGATGATGTGAGGGGGTAGAGGCCTTATCTTGCCACGATAATTAGGGAAATCAGATTGTCTCCAGTTGGTTGGAATGTTGCCATCAACTGCAAATGAAACTTGGATGGACTCAATAAGATTCTCTGAAGTATTTTCATATAAGAGATTATGGTATTTCACCACACGAATCTGTGTTCTACATTCTATCACAATGCCTCGATGCCATGAACCTCGGAGTCCCTCTTCAACACTCCGGACCTAAGATGATTTTCATTAGCGAACAAGATGAAGAAATGAAGATAGAGCATTTTGATCCAAGTAAGTACTCATTTACCCTAACAAATTACACTGCATGAAGCCGATATTTAGGGGAAAAAAGGAATCAACTACCACAATAAGCTAAAACTAAAGTTCATAAATGAATCAAACAGAAAATTCCCAAATTTGTCATCGTGAAGCCGATATTTGGAAAGTTATTGTTACCCTAATAACCAAACGAAGTACAATTTCCACTTAGAAACCCCCAATTTAACATCATATATGAGCATTAAAGGATCAAACAAGAAACAAGCAAAGAACAACACAATGTAGGCAACAAAAAAACCCCAAAACCCTCCAATATTTCCATGCAAACAAAAAAAAAACAAACAGGTTAAAATAAGGCAAACATTACTTCGACTTGTTCGGTAGGTAGAAGCTTCGGAGCATGGCTGAGTCTCTGGCGTTTTCTTGATTGCTCCAAAATCATTCGTGTTGTGATGTTGGCAGCCATTGATGAGGTTTTTGAGGTTGGAGAGTGATATTTACAGAATTATACTTCACGACATTCGAATTTATTATAAAATTAAGATATGATGGACTTGATTGCAGAAGAAGAAGCGAGAATTGTTGTGGGAAGACACCGGTGGCTACATTGTCGGATTTGGTGATTTGGCAGATTCATCATCGTAAAATACTTAATTATTAAGAGGGTTCGAGAGGAAGATTTGAGGGGTTTAAGGGAATCTCCGAAATTATGATATTTATTATATAGTTTATCTCACGCGATTGTTTGGGCAGGAATGGATAAAAAAGGTCCTTGCTAAAATGACCAAAATGGATGTTTTGTTCCTGCAACAAAATGGTCATAAAAAATTCACAACTTCAACTATTTTATTTATCAAATTGGTTTATAAGAGTGATATTATTACATACAAAAAAAATAAAGAAAAAATGTTTTTGACATAAAAATCCATAACTTTGGCAACTTTTGTCGATCTTGTAAAAATTGGTTCATATTTTCCATTAGCTTGTTTTGCCAACTATACACAATGTGGCACTGACCGGGTATGGAGAGAGGAAATGGAGGTCGCATGAATTGAACTTATGCCCTCCCACTCTCAAGGCCAATCGCATCTATCATTATGCAAAACATGTTTGTTCAGATACTTATGGGATGTTTGAGATTACTTTTAAAATGACTTTTAGTTTTTTCAAAAAGTCAAAAAAAAAAAAAAAAAAAACGTGTTTGGGTAATAGAAAACTTCTTTTGAAAATGACATTTTGTATAAAAGAAAATAAAGAGTTTCTAAAAGTCACAAAAATCTAACTTTTTGTGACATTTTATTGTTTTACATGTAAAAGTTAAACCAAAAATATTTTTGCTCACTTTTTGCTAATCCAAACACATTTTAAGAAACTCATTTTGCAAAAAGTTATTTTACAAAAAGTCGTTCTACAAAAAGGATTATTGATGTTCAAAAGTAATCTCAAACACTACGTTAGTAGAAAATTTTGTATTTATTATTTAAACTTGAATCTTTTAATAGTTATTATTATTATTATTGTTATTATTATTATATAAATACATGAATGTATAAATACATAACAAAACATTTATATATCTTTATAAACACATAATAAATGTTTTTGTACCTTTATAATCGTTTTTGTACATATTAAAATTATAAATATGTGTTTATAGATATATTTATATGTATCTATAGTATTATACAATATAAACCATATTAATATGTATTTATATAACAAAATATGTATAAAACACATATTTATATGTATTTATGCAATATAAACCATATTAATATGTATTTTCATATTTATATGTATACAATATATTTTTATACGAAATAAATACATATTATAAATGTATAAAATTTGTTTATAATAGATACTTACGTTTAAAAATGTATTATATATGTTTATAATAGGTATTTTTGTTTAAATATGTATTTTATACAAAGTAAATACATATTATATATGTGTTTATACAAAATAAATACATATTATATATGTTTTTATACAAAATAAATATATATTATGGATGTTCATATGAAATAAATATATATTATATTTTCGTTAAAAATATATAAAATCGTTTTTGAAGGTATACATAAACTTTAAAATATATGAATATGTTGTTTTTAAGTAGCGTAAACACACGTTGACGTGACATGCCACGTCAGCCCCATCTCAATAAAAATTTATATTCAACGCCAACGTGGCTTGGTGACCGGCCATTATGTCTATTACCATCTAAATGGCAAATATGAATAAAAGTATGGAAATATTAGGCAACAAACAAGAAATCGTGAAAGTGACAAACAAGATAAAACTTACCAAACTTAAGGACTTTATTTCAAAAGTAAAAAAAAATACTAAAAACTTTTTTTTTTTTTTGGAAATAACTTCATTACAACATTTTAAATAGAAATACTGATTTTGGAAATTATCTTTTATTGGTAATCATTTTGTAATATCTATGCTGGGGTAACAAAAAATCAAACACATCCAAAAAAAACAAAAACCGTAAGAAATCAAATCCGAAAAATCAAAACTGGTGCAGAAACCAACGTTGTGGTTTTTAATTTGAAAAAAAAAAAACAAAAAACTGACCAAACTCGGCATGGTGCAGTTTTATCCAAGAAACACACCTTCAAAAACCGAACCACACCACTATAACTATATATATATATATTCAAATTCTTTTTATACAGAATGTTTATGATTCTTGTATGTTATATGAATGTTTAAAACTATATTTTTTTTTTATAGAAATAAAATATCAAACACATCATCACACCTCATATAGTCCAAAAGCATGGGCTATAAGACAATGATTTCACCAAAATTTTGATTGTGAGTTAAAAAGATAAAAAAACAAAAATTGTTTCATGTTTATGGGCTAAGATGTGTTGGATAAAGGGTTAAAAGCTAAAAGTTTAATAAGAAAAAACGTGTCACTTCTAGTCTCTTGTGGTTTTAAAACAACACCATAGTAGAAACCACAATTTCATTGTGCGGTTTAAAACCTAAACAACATAATTGGGAAAAAACTGCAAAATCGCACTATTTGAAAAATCGCACATTGTTGTTTTAAGATTACAAAAACTGATGCATGCGGTTTGTGATTTGGTTTTGGCCTAAAACTGCACCAGACTCACCCCTTATTTGTACCAAAACATATCATACCGGATAAAACCCCATTGAATTTGATAACTGTAACGCCCGTAAGATAGGACTGGATGATTAAAGAATAAATGAGATAATTATTAGTCGCAACGATAATTATATATTATAAAAAAAGATTATTTAAGGTAAATACTCTAAACAAAAGTCGTAGTAGTCGTTAAACTGAGAGCGTATATATAGAGAACGCCCCAATCTGACTTCGTAAGAGAAAGTTATGACTTTTAAAAGTTTCAGCGTATCAGTATACGACTCAGAAACCGAAGTAGAAATCGATTGATTGTTAAGAAAAGCAATCTAAACGAGGGTTGAAGATCTCGTCCATATGGTTCCGTCGATATAAATATAATCGAGAACGGATATCATATGAGGAAGTTATGAATTTTTAACGGACTTTAACAGTCTAAGTCTGTTAAAAATATAGCTTTAAAAATAAAGTCAAACTTAGCCGATGGAGTCTAAACGAAAGTTGTAGATCTTGCCGAGAGCTTTCCGGGGATATAAAGAACATCGAAAACGGAGTTCGGATGAAGAAGATACGGTTTTCTGAAGTTTTTCGAGAAGCGTCACGCGCAGGTAGGTTGCACGGCGCACACCTTCAAGAAGGTGGGGGCGTGTACCACCATATTTGCGAAACGTGGCAGAAAAAATGAGAGGAGCGACGTCTAAGGTGTGGACGACGCACACACTAGGCGCGACACGCAGTTGTACTATAAATAGAATTCGGCTGTTCATTTGCTTCCTCACTCTCTACCCTACTCTCTCTCGAAATTCTCTCGATAAGTAAAAAATATATTACATTTTAACGGGAGTAATCTTAATGAAAGTTGTAGTAGACTCAAAAACCGAACATGTGGATATAAGTTTGTTAAAATCTGATATCATGTTTGGAAGTTACGACGTTAAAAATACAAGATCTAAGCCAAACCACAAGACCTACGCAACCAAGCTGTTGAGATCGCGATGAACATAAGCATCAACAGCCCCAAACACCTCATCAATGCTTGTCCCCACGTAAGATGTTGTGGGAAAAACCTAAAAAAATCATTCATAAGTACTGAATGAGTACAAAAACAAAAAAGATTTATTTTGAACAAAAAAATATTAAGGACTAAATGTGTACAAAAATATTAATGACTAAATATATACAAATTGATAAATATATTACCCTATTAAGTCATTTTTCCCGGCTAACCTGGAGTAACCGGTCATAAGGACTGAATGTGTACAGTTTAACAAGTTAAAGGGTAAAATGTGAACGAAAAAAAAAGTCAATGACTAAATATGTACAAATGAGAAAATATATTACCCTTTAAGTCATTGTCCCTTTTCAAAACTAAAACCAAACGTAGAAATATGTATACCATAGGATCAAAACTTACTTTACCATAGTAAAGTTATACACATACAAACATAGGATCAAAACTTACTTTACCATAGTAAAGTCATATACATACAAATTTATAGATATAAATATGTAAACATGACATATTTTAACATACTTAAAACAATTTTTTTTCTTTTCAAAATGAGTATTCTCGTTTAGAATAGGGATGTTAATGGGGCAAATAGGACGGGGAGTGCATCTCCTGCCCCCGTCCCCGAAATTTCCCTGTTTCTCCGTCTCCGTCCCCGCCCTAAAATGTCCAGCCTTCCTACCCCCGCTCCAGCCCCCAAATCCCTCTTATTACCCCCGCCCCCACTCCATTCCCTACTTTAAAATATGTTACATTTTAAACATGTTACATCATAGGTGGTCTATCATTTGGTAAAGACATATAGATGTTTTGTTTTGTTTTGCAAGTGAAACTGTGCTATCTTATTTTAGTCGTGATTGAAGCCACTTAAGATTCGAACACCGCCCCCCTTACGAAAATATCACAAACCGACAATTTTTTAAAAGCAACTCATAAAAAACACATATAAAATTATATCAATTTTGTTTTATAATTAAGACATGAAATTATTTTTCATATAGTTTCTTTTGTTGATTTTTTCATGGATAATAAATACCTGTTCCTCAATTTGATTGTCATTTTCTTTTACTATCACTTTCCTTTTTTTAAACTATAAATGATCATATTCATGTTATATATTATATATTATCAAATAGTTATAAATTATAAATAACTATGATATTTATTAAAAAGTAATTTGTTAATGTGTCGGTGTGACCATTTAAAAAAAGTACTGTTATACATTAATATAGAAGTAATCACAAAAGTCGAGATTACATTGATGTTAATGGTGTAAGGTCTTTCTGTCTACACACAATGAGAAAGCTCGTGGTGTGTATACACCTCACCATTATCACCTTCCACCTTCTTTCCACAACACAACAAAACCGATATACTCCCCACAATGATTGTGGTCATGGTGGATTTAACCTGCAAGAAAGAAGAAGAGAGACCTAATTGGTCGTGGTGGACAACACGAGAGGCCATGATCATGGCTTCAGGTCAACACCACGAAAGGACTGAGGTGATGTTCACGGTCCGTGGTCGTTGCCACCTAGACTCGTTGCCATCTAGACAACGAACCATTTCATTGTTGATACGCAGGATATAATTCTAAATGGATTATGGATCATGGATAAAAATCATAAGAAAATGAAACTAGTTTGAAACTTGGACTCAAAATACAAATTTCACAAAATTGGACCATTTATGTAATTTAATCTTAATTTTACAATTGAGTAAACTTAAACATAAATCCCCGATGATAGACACAGTTGCACTTAATAAGTAGAAGAAGCCACAACAGCGCAAAAGGGTTGACCCTAAACCCTCGCTTTTCTCCCCTCTACAAAACACCCTAATTCCCAACTCGTGACGCCCACGTTTTCTCAAACGTCAACCCTCTTCTTCTCTATCCACTCTAATAAATTCCAAGGGAGCACACACTATTCGGAGACAGAGACACAGCAATGGCCGTAGGGTACTTCCGAATGTGGTGGTGTGCGGTGGTGCTTGCAGTATTGTTCGCCGCTTGTTTGGCTGCTGGAAACACCGACTTCACCTTAGGTAAATAATAATCTGTTATCGATTTCATTTCTTCGATGAACCTCTTTTAATTAATGGTGATTCCCTGTCTGTTCTTCTCGAAGTAGAGAATGCTTGATTGATTATTAGTTCCATTCACAGATACAAAATTAAGTTTGATTACTCAGTCTCTATTTACTAATCATGTATTTTATTTAATTATATTCTATTGGATAAATATTTAAGCGTTAATTAATTTACGTACTTATGTCATGGGCAACAAAGCATCAATTTTATTTATTTTTTTAAAGCTTAGTTTTAAATTTTGTACGGAGATTCACATTTCACAAGTTCACACTCCAATAAGTTAAGTCGGCATCGTGAATAGTGCAACTTGTCAGCTGATCTTGATTCATCTGACGTCTCTTAAAAAAATATTTATTTCGTTAAATAGTTTTTACCTCTTTACATGTTTTTGACTAATTACATTCATAGTAACTTTGAACGTAAAAATATAGTTGATATTTCAAAAATGTATATTTACTTTTGATAAAAAAATTTTACAAATAAAATTTAAAGCTACAAGCTATTTTGGTCAAATAAACTTTTACAACTGTGAAAACAGATGAAATATTTCAAATCAAATAATAATATCATGGGCATATACATGTATTTTTCAACGCATGTATTTAAATAATTGTTATTATATAATGGATTATTGTAGGTGAGAAAACAACATGGACTCAGAGAAGGTTGTTAGGGATACATCTAAATGACTATGGTGAACCATCTGCAAATAAAGGACATGATCCTAAAGGAAAAGTTGCTAAGTCTCCAAAAAAGAAAAGCCGCCACTTTTAATTATGTATCGAAATAAAAGTTGACAGATAACAAGGGACAAGTAACAGTAAACTTTTATTTCGATAGCAAGTAACTAAGACATAATGTTTGTCGTATTTTCTTTTGTATGTTCGTGATGTACTCATGTAAGATAACTACTTATGTTTGTGTTTCTGGTTGTTAACATTTTATGGCACTACGTCAATTAGAATCTTGGTTCTGTTTATATTAGTATCAAAAGTGCTATTGATTTATTAAAAATGTCTTATTGTAATAAGCGTATATGAAAGATAGAGTTTCGTATATAAGACTTAACAGAACTGGACTAGACAATACTCAATTAGACGACCCTAAATCTTAAAAACTTCATGGTTTTAAGCAATATTAAAAGTCAATCATATTTAAAAAGCATCATGACAATACTCATTTCAAACATACATGTTCATGCAATCTAAATCAACCTTCACATGCCATGCAAATTATATGCATATTGCATGCACATAAAATAATATTTACCACATGAAAAGTTGAAAACTCACCCGATGATACTGATAACACCTTACTTGTGTGCACGATAAGCGGACCTCCTACTATTCCACGTAACATTTTCTAAGATACACTAATTTTATTTTATAGACTTGTATCTTTTAAAATGATTAAAGTCATGATCAATTGTTGAATTATTTATTATACGTATTATTATATATAAACACTTTTTTATCCACCATAAGTCACACTACATGCCTTAATAGTTAATAGTATGATATCCATTTTTTTGGTTATAAGTTATTTAACAACTCTTGGCTAGCCTTTCCTAGTTTCCTTGATGTAATGCCTTAGAATATTTTGCATGTCTTCAGGTGCTGCTCGACGTGACAGCAATATTGTGTGATCAATATTGCATCATCTTTTCTATTTCGGCCTTTAAATAAGAAACTGAATTTATAATTCAACCAAATTACTCCTGGGCCCCTTCACTTAGAAAAAAGTAATAAATAAATCCAATAATACTAATTTATAGTTTTAAGGAAAATTGTAAAAATTAGAATAACAATATACTTATATGTGTCCACGATGCATTATGTACACTTGAACCCATCTCCATCTTCCAACCTTAACACCCTAAGCACATAACACTACAAAAAAAATGCCAATTAGTGACCAAAACGAAATGGTCACTAACAATAGAAGCAGTTGTCACTAACTGATTTAGTGACCAAACATTTGGTCGTCACTTTTCGTCACTATAGGTCCGTCACAAAAACTAATCAGTGACGAAAATAGAAAAGTGGTCACTAAATAGTGACTAAAATATACTAGTCACTAAATCTGTGACGACTCGTTTCGTCACTAAATCTTGTCACTAAACAATGAAAGTCGTCACTGTTTTATCTAATTAATGACTATAAAAAGTTGTCACTATTTCATTCAATTAATGACCATAGAAAGTCGTCACTGGTTTATCCAATTTGTGACCATAAAAAGTCGTCACTCGTTTATTAGTGACCATAGAAAGTCGTCACTAATTTATCCAATCTGTGACCATAAAAGGTGGTCACTGGTTTATCCAGTTAGTTACCATGAAAACTCCTCAAAAGATAAACATAAATTGTTCTCAAGTTTGAACAAACCCAAATATACAGTACTGAAATGACTAAAAAGTAAAAACATCATATATTCAAATTTAGACAAAGGATTAGACAAAATATTCAAAGAAAATGGATTCAGCCTCTATTTACCATGAAAATATAAAAAAAAAGTAAAAAATAAAATAAAATTGCATCTCATTGCCAACAAAGGAACAAATAAGAGCAAGATAAGTAGATGTTAAGTTTCATTGCAATCCACCGCCTTGTTCTGCTGCTTTCAAGCATGATATGCCATCCTTAACCTCTGCAATTAATAGTTCATGCTAATTATTAACTTTGGAATGATAATGACAATCAACAGCATTGTTTATAAAATGAAAAAGATTTAAAAAAAATACCTACCTCCTCTGATATCACAAAGTCCTTGTTGCTCTCTTCAAGATATGCTCAGAATCTGCAATTTAATCTATTTGTATATCAAAAAGACATTATCAAGAAACAGATTAATGTTTACATGTAATGTTAGCAAGCAGCAAAAAGAAGATCCCCAAAGAAACAGATTAATGTTTACATGTAGTATTAGAAATTAAATTAATTGTAGGATTTAATAGATATCATTAGCCATGGGTATGTTTAGTTGGATGGAAAGGAATGACCATGGTAATGGAATGAGTCATTACATTCCATGATCACGTTTGGTTGGGATTGAATTCCATGACTTTGTGCACGGAAAGTTGAATTTCTGTTTACAAATGCAGGAGATTGGAATTGAATTCCATGGGCTTATGTAAGGAAAGTTGAATTTTGTCACTTGAAGGATTTAGTGAATTTCAGTGGAATTCAACTCAGCAATCTTTTGCAACCAAATGTCGGAATAGAATGAAACTCAATTCCAATTCAGGTCTACTAATAATGCATAAAAAACACAATAATAGAAAATCTTACCTCTTGAATTTTTGGATTTATATCAAGCATCTTCTGTTCCGATTCTTTCAATCTAGTTTCCAAAGCCTCCTTTATCCTGGGTTTGAGATAGAATTTCAACTGTAGTTTCTCCACCTGTAATAAGCAATAAACACCTATAAACTACAACAAAATGCAAATCATGACATAATTTGATAAAAAATAATTCATTGCATACATACCTGCTTCTCCAACTCCTGGGAACGTGTGTGAGCTTTATGAATCTGCTCCTTAGCATCTGAAGATCCTTTAATGTAATCAAACACAAGAACATAATAGATTTTATCATTTTGAAAGCATGTATTCATGGATGAAACAAAATATGTATGAAAACCACAAGTACTATATCTTTAACAAGAAGAAAAGAGCAACTTTCATTTTTCATCTAATCTCAAGACAAGATAAAAGGTATAAGATGAGATTAATGAGCAGAGAAAGAAATCTGGAAAATGATTGTACTCCTTTTAATGTAATTCACAACTATACTCAAATCAGAACATACAATGTGGAGAAATCAGCAAAAAATTTCATCAGAACATCACGATTTTAAGAAATCAACAAGCAATTTCATATCAACGATTTCTTTACCGATTTCCGAAAAATCGCCAATTTCATCAGACTTGGAGTAGAGCATTGATTTCAGCAAAAATAAAGAGAAATCAGGAAAACTGAAGAACGGACTAGATACCTGAAGAGGAGTCGGAGTTCTGCTGTGTGATGGTGGCGTCGGAGGTGTGGGAGGGGTGGGACGGTGGAGATGTTGGAGGCGATGGAAGGAGCTACGAATTTGGAAAGGCGCGATGTGGAGGAGCGTCAGCTGTTAGGCGAGAGAGAAGACGGACACGTTTAGGTTAATGATAGAAAATCAAGCTTTTCTGTTTGTTGAGAAAGTCATGTTTCTAGTTGCTATGATTTTAGCTACTATTTGGTAGATGGAATCAGGGAGCCGATTGATTAGCAATTGAACAAATTGATTAGCAGGAAAATGATGTATGTGACATGAGAGCAATAGATGTAGCTACATCGATGGTCGGAGCGGAGAAAAGAGTACCTGTTTGACTTCGAGTGGAGAACAAATGTGCGTCGATGGGAGGGTGTGGAGCGACGATGGACCGACGACAGTGGTGCCGAACTGTCGATGGTTGGTGTGTCGATTTAGGGCAAACTATGAGGAGAGATGTGTTGACGAGAGGCAAGATGACTTTTCACTCTAGAGTTTGAACATTGCTATGAAAATTCATCTCAGCATTTTCCTCCGTATAGAAAATAGAAAAAGGAAAATTGATTTCTTTAATTGTGAAACAACGCAAATGGAAAAGACAGAATAATTTTAGGTCACCCATACCTGAGAAGGGTAGTATAGTAAATATGTATTGATAAAAGGGTTTTGATTAGTTGTGGATGAGTGCACACGAAACTTAAATAAGGACTAATCAAATGTAATGAGTTTTTGGAAAATTATGAAAACTCGTAGTCATTTTAATTTCAAAAAGAAAAAATATTAATTAAAAATATTTTAATCTTCATTAATTGAAAATCATAGCTACTGACTATTGTTTTAGGTTCACTAATTGTTTTTCATTTTGTAATTCAGTGACCACTATTGACCACTATTGAGTGGTCACAGTTTATCCGAATAGCATTCAAGTGGTTTTCAAATAACAAAGAGTAATTAGTGACAACTATTTTTTGTCACTAGTAATTAGTGACAACTATTTTTTGTCACTAGCGCTCTAACACAGTGACCATTATTTTTAGTCACTATTAGTTATTATGATACGAAAGAAAAGTATTTTAATTTTATTAATGGTTTAGTGACCGATTTAATGACGACCACATAGAATTGGTAATTAAATTTGTAGGATTACCAAAATTCTGTGACAACTTAATATCTGGTGACTAAATGATGTTTTTAGTGACCAAATTTTTGGTCGTCACTAAAAATTAGTCACTAATAAGGACTTTTCTTGTAGTGTAATTCTCGCTCCACACCACTTTTAATTTAATTAATAATTGATATGAAGGGTATTGATATGTCATAAGGATGAAATATCTAATCTTATATGCCATAAAAAAAATACGGATAACACCCCTTCATCTCATTTTCCATTTCCCAGGTCATGTTCAGTCACATTCTATGTGTGTATTTACTAGTACCAATCTGATATTGTTTCTTCAAAGTTTCTTAGTTTAGCATCTAGTGGTGGAGTCAGGGTCAAAGTAAACGGATAACATAAAAAAACCGCGTATTGTTCAACTTTTCATCTATCTGTGAGGTGAGTCTTCTCACTGTATCCATGGGTGGAAGGCACAAATGTCGGCCAATTATTGTGTTATTTAGGATGACAGATGTTATGTGGCTTATATGAGTTTGTATGATGTGTTGAAATAAACCTCAGGGCGGAGCCCATTATCGTATGTTCGGGTTAAAATAGATCACATGGCGGGGCCCACTATTGTATGATTGGGCTGAAAGATACCCCAGGATGGGGTCCATATGTGTTGATCAGATTGAAATACACCCTAGGGCGAGGCCTCATGGTTGGGCCCATATATGTATATTGGGTTGGAATATACTCCAGTGTTAAACCCAATGGTATGATTGATATGTGATACTTTGGAGAACTCACTAAGTTTTGTGCTTACAGTTTATGTTTATGGTTTCAGGTACTTCCGGTTCTAAAGGAAAGGATCCAACGTGATGACACATCATCTTCCCCTCATGACTTCTACATTTTGAATAATTGTACTCTGATAGTTTGGATATTATATTTGGCGATGGTTTTTGAAACAAATAATGAATGAAATTGATAGTCTTTGAATGAAAAAATTTATCACTGTTTTTGGGTTGTTACAGTTTTCAGTACAAAATGTATATAAAATAATATTAAATGACTAAAATAAATTATTTGGTAAAAAGTAATGTTAAAATGAAAAATTATAAACATAAAAGATGCATATTTTGACAAATTAAGACGTACATCAGAATGCATTTAAAAAAAATGTTTTTGAAAATGAATAAACAAGGTAAAAAAACTCATTTCCATTTCACTTCTTAATACAACCAAACAATAAAAATGATTCTCAAAAATATTTCTCTAATGGATTCTCAGTTCTACCAAACAGTGGAGTTAATTCTCTTTCTCCGGCTTAATTATCTTTCTCTGCATTTCCATTCTCTGCTGCAATTTTATTTCTCTGTACCAAAGTGTCAAAGCATTCGGTTATAAATGCATCTCTTCCACCTTGTTCTCCTACCATGTCTCCAAACAAGTAGCAACACAAACAATATTACTTCTTCTTTTTAATGCTATACTCTAACCATCGAAATTCAGTAAACTATCCGACGACAAAACATCTTAGCTTCTTACCAAATAAAATAAATTCAAAATTATGCCCCTTTGGTTGACAAGGTCATTTAATCAAATATTCCATCCAATTCATCCCTTTGATGAGGATTATAAGTTGTAATCTTTGGCCTATCCCCTGTGTCCAAAGGAAGATCATTCAAATCAAAAGATTGTGTCACTTTTGGTTTTGAGTAGGTTCATTAGATTGTGGTTCTTGTGGTTTTGGAGTAGGTTCATTAGATTATGGTTGTTATGGTTTTTGGCGTAGGTTGATTAGGTTGTGGAACTTGTGTACTTCCATCGACCCTATTTTTTTTGGAAGTTCCTTAACCATTGTTGTCTCCAACATCTAATTGTCTTTTAAAAAATTTGTTAATAGCAACCTACAATCAAAATATATCAATTATAAACTTGATTTCAAGTTTCAACAACAAATAACAACTTACAATCAAATTATCAAAATATATCATCTATAAACTTGATATCAAGTTTCAAACAACAAATAGCAACCTACAACCAAATTATCAAAATATATCAACTATAAACTTGATTTCATGACTCAAGTTTCAAGAAGACAACAAATAGCAACCTACAATCAAAAATTGAAAATATATCAACTATAAACTTGATTTCAAGTTTCAACAACAAATAATCACTAACTATTAACCCTAAGTCCCTAATCTAACAAATTTAATTGGTAATTTTTAATTTCTCAACACAATGCCAAAAAATTAAATTTGAATTGACCTAACAATAAACAATAGGATTGAGTTTTTTTGTACTTACTTGTTTCATTGTGCACTTTGATCATTGATCACTCAGCACCAGAGAATTTGGCCAGAATAAACCCATGCCAATAGCAATTCACCGACAAAATAGAAGGAAGGAAGGTAACGAGCAACGTTAGTCGTAGGGGACATCTGTCGATTGCTTTTTTGATTTTTTTACCGATTTTGCAATATTTGGACTAATTTTTTGTTTCATTAAACTCTTTTGTGTATTGGGCACTTGGCCACTTGGGCTTAACAAGTTTGGACAACTTATTGTGCTAGTTTGTATTTGCATTTACAATTTAGAAATTACCTAAAAAAAATTTATGATAACCCAAATTTTTTTTATGGGGTATCACCGCAAACATAGAACACAATTTTCTGAAAAAATTTATACTATTGAAAAAAAGTTTGAGTGGGCTTCCCGGGCTACCCGACTCTACATTGGATCCGCCTATGAATTGGTTAATGTTGTTTTAATTTTACATTACAAATCTTCATGCTCAATATCATTATATAAGAACGATTTTTATAAGCTATTAAAAGAGATTTTGGCTTTGGGTTGACAAGTCTTAAGGTACACATAAATAAAATATAAGTTTGTGACATATATAGATAAGAAACTACGTCCTATGTACACAATTAGTCGATGTTGTTATAATTATACTCTACAAATCCTTATGCTTAATTCATTATATAAGAACAATAAGCTATTAAATGTTAAAGAGGTTTTGGGTTTGGGTTGACACAAAATCTATGTTTACATCGTAACTACAAGATAATAACCAATCTGGAAAGAAAACGATAATGTTTGATATCAACTTATTATACTTGTAAACACAATGTTTTTGTGTAGAAGAAGAGGATGCTATTAACTTACCAATTCGAAAACAATGAATCCATATAAGGTCCTATGAAATTTTATATTCGTAATCGAAGGGAAGAAGACAATGATTCCTTTATTGGCAGCGGCGAAGACGATATGCATTCTTGTTGGCGACAATGAAACCCAAGAAGCCCACGTGTCAACAGTGGCGAATCTAAGATTCAAACTCACGTGTGTCCCATTATAAAATAAATGAGTCGAAAATTTTGGTTATGAGTCGGTTTGTCGATATACTTTGATCAAGGTGTTTGTTATTCATCATTTTGTTGTTGGTATCATGATCATACAATAAAGAGCTTCTTTCACCTTTTTATGTAAATTTTTAGCATCATGCCAAAAATAATAAAATAAATAATTACAAATCTATATAAATCATCAAAAACAAATACACATACACTATCAATATATATCTGTAATATAAATACAACATCTAATTTAAACAAATAATATATATAAAAAATCACTTAAAAAAAGTATAATAAAACAAGAAGAGTGCCTTTTTTTTGTTTCATTTAAGCTTTATTACGTTATATATGTCGGAAGTATTATTTAGTACAATTTTAGTGAAGTAAATTAAAATGATAATTACATCTGTTCATTATAGAAAGCAATAAGAGACATGTGATGCCTGACATATGATCACAAAAGCAATGATAGGTTTAGACTTGACTATGACTTTTCTAGTTTGTAGGTAGACTATGCTTTTTTTTTTCCTTTAATTGCTTTACAGTCCATATCGACCATATCCACTGCTACAAGAAATTTAACCTTAAGTCCTAAAAGAAAGAAAAGAAAGACTTACCCAAATAAAAATTGAATAGAGGAGAAGCAACGCATGTTTGTGGTTGCAGTGTCGGCGATAGATGGTCCAGTCCGATCGGATGAAGGTGGGGATGGTATCCGGTACGAGTGGCGAAGAGCAGGTGAGAGACGACCAGTAGTCTAAAACTATGACCCCAAGACATGTTGAAGACAACCTGCGGTCACTGGAGATCGAGACAGTCGGAGTCGTTATTGTCGGCGACACGAAAAAATCAGCGGCGGCCGGAAGGCGGCAATTCGGTTTTTGGAAGACAAAGGGCACTCGAAAATCATAATTTTTTAGGTTTTTGTTTTCCACTTTACTATTTTTCTACCCTTTACAGTTTATAGATCGATCTGAGCTTGCAATATTCTTTCTTATTATATATTTGAAAAATATTTTGTTTGCTTAACAAACTCCTAAATTTCTGCTCTTGAATTTTTTTGTAAGTTTTAAAGATTAATAAGAAATTGCGATTGACAAATGTGATAAATCAAATCAAAATATTGTATTATTTATTCTTTTGTGTTACTGTATCCAAGGATGTCCGGACTTTTTCCCAACTGATGTCCCATGGAATTTATCGTTATATCTTGTAAATAAAATTTGAGATTTAGGGGTGTCCATGGACACCCTTTATAACACTATACACTCGCCCCTGCGTGTCAATATTGGTAATCAATTTGAAGAATACTGATTTTTTTATTATTATTTATTTATTTATTATTATTATTATTTTTTTGTAATCAATTTGAGGAACAATGATGTAGAGGTACCCACTACCCACCAGAGAAATGCTGGTGAAAACGTTCTTTTAGGACATTTTTCTTGTTGGTACATCCCCTCCAAGAAAAACTAAAACAAAGTGCATACTTTGTCTTTGTAATTAGGAAACAGATAAATCTATTTTTTGAGAGGATCTTCGTGAATATATTCTTAATAGTTAATACAATATTAATCCAAAAGTCTTCGAGTCCAAAAAAATATAAGGTGCATAACATGTGGTGACCAAGTGACCAAATTAAAGATGAAACACTTTTCATCTTCAACCTTTATTCTCTTCATTAATTATACAAAACAAAATTCATAAAACTCAAAGAACACATATGCAAACGTGATGAATTTATAAATTAAAATCCAAACTATTGTTAAAATCTATCTCTAACATTAGTCAAAATATAACACAAGAATGCAAAGGCGAATTGGCTATTTGCTGTTTCTGTGATGTCTTTTGATTCGATTATAGAATATAGAATTCCTAAAAAATAATATTCAAACTTGTTTCGTTTTGCCCAAACAAAGTATTTTTCTTTTCCTTTTTATATTAAATTTTACCATTGAATTTTCGATTAGAAATTCAATCACAGTTCAACCGAGTCGCTCCCACGTGTTGCCAAATACGTCGTTCTCCGGGCGTCGGCGCTTTCAACCTCCGCTGCCATCTGCAAATCTTGCCACCTGCTTGGCCATAATTCTTCCTTTATCCCTTTTGTCCCACCTTTGGCTAACAATACTTCACTTCACAATCACTAGGATTCAGTATTTTCAACCCTTCAATCATCGGAAAAAAAGAAAACGATAACTCCAGTGATGTATTGGTTCAAGAACCTGATACGATTGTCCTCCCCGGTCAAACACCATTCCACCGCCAAATTCACACCCACTCTATTCTCTCTGCAACATCTCCACCACTTCGCCACCGCTGGCGATGCGGTTGCTCCTCCGGTATCTGGGCTTGGGCCCACCAAGAAAACCGAAAAGCCAAGAGTGGTGGTTCTGGGTTCCGGTTGGGCAGGGTGTAGGCTGATGAAAGGGATCGACACCAGCATATACGACGTCGTCTGCGTTTCCCCTAGGAACCATATGGTTTTTACTCCTTTATTGGCTTCTACCTGTGTCGGCACTCTCGAGTTCCGGTCTGTTGCTGAGCCGATCGGCAGGATTCAACCGGCGATTTCTACCGAACCCGGTTCATATTTCTTCCTAGCTAATTGCAAAGGACTTGATTCCAAGAATCACGAGGTATGCTTTCATGTTTTCAATTCAAGACTCTTGAATGTTGAAAAAGTTGGAATCTTTGACCAATTCAAATATGCCGAAAACCATTTTTTCGATCTGGGATTCTTCAAATTGGAGTAAATTATGCATCGAAATGCTTTTCGACTTTGCTATTGAAACACAATCATCAGGTTTTTAACCAATTGATTATCTGATTTTGATAATGTGATGCTACAGGTGCATTGCCAAACTATAACAGACGGATTACGAACTCTCGAACCATGGGATTTCAAGATTTCGTACGACAAATTAATCATAGCTTCTGGAGCTGAAGCTTCAACTTTTGGAATCAATGGTGTCAAAGAACACGCCATTTTCCTTCGCGAGGTGCACCATGCTCAAGAAATCCGCAGAAAGCTGCTTCTCAACTTAATGATCTCCGATGTTCCTGGTATCTATCTTCCACAAATTCTCACATTCATATTTAATTTTGTAGTGGTTTAAACTCTGAAGGGATTATGGTTTTGCCACAGGTGTTTCCGATGAAGAAAAGCGAAGACTTCTGCATTGTGTTGTTGTTGGAGGTGGTCCTACTGGAGTAGAATTCAGTGGTGAACTCAGTGATTTCATCATGAAAGATGTTCATCAAAGATATTCTCATGTGAAAGATTACATTAACGTTACCTTGATCGAGGTGAGACTTACCCGTTTCAAGATTCTTTCTCTATGTAAAATTAGGAACGAATCTTGAACAATTTTGTGAGATTTTGTAGGCCAACGATATCTTATCTTCATTTGATGATCGCCTTCGGGTATATGCTACTAAACAATTGACCAAGGTAAAAGAAACAAAAACTAGAATACTTTTATAATAAACAAATAAATGGAAGTACATTGCTATTTCTTGCATTTAACGCGTATCAAAATGTTATAGTCGGGAGTTCGGCTTGTTCGTGGAACAGTGAAGGATGTTCAACCTAAGAAGATAGTTTTGAGTGATGGAACTAATGTTCCTTACGGGTTGTTGGTGTGGTCCACGGGTGTTGGCCCCTCGTCTTTTGTTCAAAAAATGGATCTTCCAAAAGCTCCGGGTGGAAGGTAATAAATGTTTGTTTAGATTTCGGATGAATTTTTGTTGTCTTATATATATATATATATATATATATATATATATATATATATATATATATATATATATATTCTTTTAAATATTTTGTAGGATTGGGATTGATGAGTGGTTAAGGGTACCATCTATGCCGGATGTATATGCGATTGGGGATTGTAGTGGGTACCTCGAGAGTACCGGCAAATCGACTCTTCCGGCTTTAGCCCAAGTAATTTTTTTTTCTATCAAGTGTTGTCTGGATAAATGATGTCTGAAATGTATTTAAAAAAAGTTATAGTTCCCTGACTTTCTCTATTCAATCGTTTTTTTAAAAGTTAATATTATTATTTTTTTTTTAAATTTCCATTGGTGTGAGTATGGGTTAGGTGGCGGAGAGGGAGGGGAAGTACTTGGCGGAACTTCTAAACAAGATCGGTAAAGCGGGGGGTGGACATGCTAATGGTGTTGGCGATATAGAACTCGGAGCTCCGTTTGTTTATAAGCATTTGGGAAGCATGGCTACTGTTGGAAGTTATAAGGCTCTAGTTGATCTGAGGCAAAGCAAGGTAACACTAGTAAAAAAAATTACTTGGTTGCATTTGTTTACATAGGAACGACTGGACCGGATGAAACTGAACAAACTGACAAGAGATCGAGAACAGTGTCTGTCCCACCTTTTTGGGTGGCAAGACAAAAAGTTTATAGTCAGAGAGTCACAGTAACAGTACATCATGTGATGAAATCTTTATTGTAGGAAGCGAAAGGGTTGTCGATTGCGGGATTCGCTAGTTGGTTCATATGGCGTTCGGCTTATCTGACGCGTGTGGTGAGCTGGAGGAATAGATTTTATGTGGCAATAAACTGGCTAACGACCTTTGTGTTTGGTCGTGATATAAGCCGAATATAAGCTACACCACAATCGGTACATTTAAGTTTTTTCTCATCTTTTTGTTTGTAATCATTCTTTACAAAGATGAAAAGGATGCATAAACATACGGATGTAACACATTGAAAGATCCGTTAAAAATACGTATGAATTTTTGTACAAAGATGAAAAGGATGCATAAACATACGGATGTAACACATTAAAAGATCCGTTAAAAATAGGTATGAATTTTGAATCATATCGTCTAAACCAAAATCTACGTCTGCAATCCTCATCATATAATAACATCTCTATTACTTGAACTCTCAACATTGCAGTATCTTTGTATTGTTGCCTTGTGGCAATGAATTTTAATGATTAAACATCATGTCTTTGAAGCCTCAAAGAGAAAACAACCAATAAATCACGGTGATCCACTACCGAAATCGCCACCTAATCCTCACTAAACATATACTTTCTTTTAAACATATACTTGCTTTTAGCCTCAAATCGCACAACAAACATATTCCCTAATTAGAATGATACCATACCACCAATGTTTATAAACTAAATGGATTTACTTGGTGAACTACGACATATGTGCTTCATTTTGAAGCTTATAAAATATATTTACATTTTATTTACCAAAGAAAGATCCTTCTTGAGATACAATTCTTTATGTTGGGATGAAGGAATGATACAATTCTTTGTGTTGGGATCACAGATTGATAAACCATGTAAAACACAATTAAAAGTTACAACACAATTGATAAACCATGTAAAACACAATTCTCGAGATACAATTCTTTATCATCTGAACTTGCTGTTGCACCACAACTATCCAGTCGTCGTTGCAGTGTTGAAGTCAAAGGGAAAATCGGATTCCATAACTCAACAATCTCTTATTTTGAGGGTGGTCAACCAATTTGCTGTCATCCAAGCTACGTAACCCCATCTCTCTAGCATAAGCTATGTAACCCCATCTCTCTAGTATTCTATTCCAATATTGGAACTTGGAAGACTTGTTGAAGCAATACATAACATCATAGAAAAACTTTTCAATGGTTATTGTCTTGGTAAATATGTTTGTTTGATTCTTTGATATTTCATCTGAGAATCATAGTGAGAATCATACGAAGAAATAAATCTTTAAGTCATTAGTTCTGAATATCAACCAACACTTAGGTATGGGGCTTGGCGGCTTGGCGCCCACTCGCCAAGGCGGTAGCATGAGCAAAACACCACCCCTAGCATGTGCTAAGGGGATGCGCTAAGGAGGAGGCGATGGTAGGTTAACGAGAGGAGAGATGAGAGAGATAGAGAGGCGAAAGAGAAGAGAGAGAAATAGGAGAGGTTGTTAGACGTCATTTATATTTACATAGTCTTTGTATTTTGTTATATAGGGCCCAATGTATAGCAACCCATATGTAGCCCTTATGTTGTGCGTGTATTCTTATATATATTGTTTAATGAAATCAATACCTTTCATGGGAAAATATTGATTATAACATGGTATCAGGCTTTTTCCTCTAGTAACCCTAACCGATCCTCATAACGTGTTTTCTGCATCATCTTCTTTGCTCTTCTGATTTGTCCTTCTTCTTTCTCACCATGCCTCCTAAAGAAGACTCCACCAACTCTATTCCCACTGATAAGATCTATGGCATTACCAACATAAAATCATATGTGCCTCTCATCCTTGACATTGACAGGCTCAGTTATGATTCATGGAAGGAATTATTCAAGACTCACTACCTTGGTTATAACGTTTTCAACCACCTTGAACCGCCTGAAGATTTAGTTAAAGACTCATCATGGGAAACTGTTGACAACGTGGTCAAACAGTGGTTATATGCCACTCTCTCTCAGCCTGTTCTTCAATCGATCATCAAGCGTGGTTCTACAGCTGCTGACATTTGGAGTGCTCTTGAAGAACTGTTTCATGAAAATAAGGAATCTCAAGCCATTGAATTAGAAGATGAATTAAGAAACATGACACTTGGTAACTCTACCATTCTTGAGTACTGTAACAAGATCAAGGCCATCTCCGATCTCCTCTCTAATATCGGTTCCCCTGTTTCTCCCAGAAACCTTGTATCGTATGCTCTCAATGGTTTACCTTCAAAGTATGCTCATATTATTCCTACAATGAGGTGCTCTAAACCCTTCCCCACGTTTTTGGAGATGCGTTCCATGTTGGCCCTTGAGGAACGCACACTATTGAAAGAAGAACAACGTGCTCTTCGAATTTCTCACGACGACACTGTTGGATTTGGTGTCTAAGCCCATAACTATAACTGGTATGTACTTGACCCGATTGTAGCATGGTCCTTTTGGGTTGCCTTCACCAGTGCAATTTCATAGGATGGATTTTGAGAATAAGGTTATTTATGGTTTATTAATATATTACAAGTATAATATATTAATATGAAATTATTTAATTAGTATTGATCAAGAATTAATTTTGTGATCAAAAGAGACCATTAAATATATGGGGATTGATTATGTAAATCAATCATTCTTGTAGTGTGGGCTAATGATCTATGATTATGGGCTAAACTAATCTATGGATAGTCCATGGAGGTTAAACCCATGGAGCATGAGAATGTGGAAAGTCATGGGTTATTAGGGTTTACCAAGTGTAACCCTAGCATGTCCAACACTATAAATAGAACCCTCCATAGACCAAAATCGGTTGCCTCTTCTCTTTGAGATAAATATATTATTCTCTTAAATCATCCTCTTGCATATTGGTGTTTGTGAACCATTAGAGGCATCACACTTGAGGTTCTCAAGCTTTCAAAGGTCAAGAACTACTAGTCCTTCAAAAGGCATGCCATCTAACTAGATGTTTTATTCATTTGGCAATTTGTATGCTAGTTAGGACAATGCTTTGGAAAAATTGAAAATATGCATGTATAATAGAGAAAACATAGATCCAAAGCATTTAGGGTTGCATGTGCACCATAGGAGTGTTATAGTGCTAAAAACCCAACAATGGTATCAGAGCCTAGGATTGTTTTCTATTATATTTGATGCTTACTAGTTTTTCAAAGCTGAAAAAGTCGAAATTTTGGCCTCTGACTGGTGAACTCGCCGAGTACATGAACAGACTCGACGAGTCCACTCAGTAACAGAGCAACTCGCCGAGTCCAGTTCATGTACTCGACGAGGTGGAGGCTCTATTTGCTGAATTTCGAGTTTTTTGGCCTGGTTTGGATTGAGAACACTACCACAAACTATTTTGGATCATTGGAAATGTTTTTATGATATGATAGTGCTTGTACTCATCCAACCTCTAGATAATTGTCAAAGTTTTAAAATAATTGTTGTTTTTATATGATTGGTTTCAAATTGTTGACTAGAAATTATCTTGATTATGAGTTTAGTTAGATAATAGATTATGTGATAATTTTGTTGTTAGAAAAAATGATCTAAATGAATTTTAATGACCTCCATAACTTGTCCTCAAGTTATGGAAAATGAAGGATCTCATACATTAAAATCCTATTAAACTCATAAGTTATGAATGTGAAGAGTTTTGACAAGTTTCAAAACTTACCCTCAAGTTTTGGAATTTGAAAAGTCACACTAATGAAACTTTAATTCCAAACCCTAGAGTTTTAAAAGTTAAAATTAAACTCTTATACTTTATAATATTATAAGTTTAATAATATATATGTATAAGATAAAGTCGGTCTTACCATTAGTAGGCCTCATTCACGAAGTCGATCTATAAGGGGGGTATAAGGTTACTGCTTATAAAATGGTAGTTTAATGGGTGTCCACTCTCACCCACCGCTTCCTTGACTAGTGGAGGGTTGTTAGCCGAACGGGTAGGATAGGACATTAATTCTCCCTCATTAAAAGTATAATGATAAAAATATAAACTAACTAAACTTTTATTAAAATTCTCAATCTTAGTTACTTTAGGAAAAATGTGAAATGGTGCTAATCAATGAAATTGCACTTTGCACTTTGTTAAGTCGTTAGTGGAGTGTGTGTGGTTAACCGACACACTAATCTGGGACTGACAATATGTGGCAAAGGGTAACTTGGTGTTAATCATAGATCAATGGAGCGTGTGTGGTTAACCGGCACATTGATTAGGTAATTTGTAACATTGGGTGTACCAAGCTAATTTGCATGGTTATTCACTCATTGTTTGTGATCCTCGGCATCCCAGTCACAAACTTGAAGGGCACAATCGAGATATAAACATGCCATTGAAAAAGTTCAATGAATCTCAAAGATCTAGGAATTTCAAATCCAATTAAAACTTAATAATCTATTTCGTTTTTCATGGTGGAAATTGGTAAATCGTCATTTACCTACCTTCAAATATTTTACAACTGGATTACGACATCCCTCTTCGTAATTGTAGAATATTGTGTTGGGTACTAGCCTTAATATTTCATATTGGGTGTAATATTAAGGATTATCATCTAATCTAAACTTTGTTCTTCTTCTTTTACAGATGTCTATCCCAAACAATGCTTCCAACCCAATCCCTTCAGGCTCTTTCTCCTCATGAACCTATGTGGGAGGGTCATTTTCGATGGCTCGAACTTCAATGAATGGATTCGAAACATCAGGATGGCTATTCGTTATGAGGACAAAGAATATGTCCTGGATAAAAGCTCAAAGAGATTGATGTCACCACTGCTACTCATGAACAAATCGATGAACACACTACTCATGAGAGGGACGCGACAAAGGTGTCGTGTCTAATGATTGCAACCATGACTGCTGAGCTGCAGAAGTACTATGAGGACTACTAGCCCTATGAAATGTATCATTATTTGATGGAAAGATACCATTAAAGTGCTCGACAGGAGAGGCATGCGATCATTGCCTCCATGATCACAACCCAAATGAAGGATGGTGAACCCATCACGACCCACTTGCAGAAGATGCAGAGATTCGTGGACCGCTTGCTTAAATTGAATGTCAATTTTGATGAAGAGTTGGCCATAGATATTATTCTACACTCTTTACCTTCTTGTTATGATCAGTTTCGTATGACTTATCATATGAACAAGGAGGAGGTTACTCTTAGCAAGCTTGAAGGCCTTTTAAGAACTGCAGAAAGCAATCTGAAAGGCAAGTCGGTTGTGTCTA